ACTGTTCGTTTTGCAAAGAGATCCTTTCAATTTTTGTTTCAAATTGCTAGTATATTGCTTTAGATCACGAAAAATTTATTTAATATTAATTATTACTACATATATTTTCGACTGGAATAATTTTATAATCTATAATTGAGCTATTCAAATATAACGTCTCGGTCGAAGCATTAAATACAGCGTACAGTGTTGCCATATTTCCTTTCATTGGATCAGATGTTTGTTCAAATTTGTCAAAACGTTGTATATTCATTCCATTATCTCAATAATTACATTGTAAGTGCATATTTTTATTGTTTTAAAATGTTTAGTAATATTTAATTCTTTAATTACAATTTTATTTTTCCGATCCTAACCATTTTTAAGAGCAATATTCACGTTTGATTAAAGTTTTTTCCCAACTCCCATAAGAGCCTGTGTAAAAGAGCATAATTTTTAAAATCAATTTTCAAAAAAACTACGTTGTCAATCGATCTATTTTTACACAAATCAGTTTGCATATTTATTAACAGATTTCAATTGCTTTGAAAACATTCTTACCATTTTTCTTTTGGTATCGAACCTCCTTAAGAACGTCCCCCGTAAATTTTTTACATCCCATCATGTAAATAGTCCTTATTCTTCCGATGTGGCAGTGATTCATAAACATTTTCACAGGTGATGAATATCGACGACTTGATTCCGTTCAATGAGCTGAACACGCCGGCCACCCTGCAAGGAGAGAAGGACACGCCATACCTGGTGGGACCCAATAGGGACCAACTCAAACTGAATCTAGTCATAGCCCCGATTAGGTAACGATTTCCCGGTCGTCACAATTTTTATGTCTCATTACTTCAGAGGGTGCAATATGTGTAAGAACAACGTTCATGAAATGAATTAAATGGATATTTGGTGATACTTTTTGTCGTTTTTTAATTATTTCGTAATATATTTTCGAATAAAACATCTTGACGTTTTTTCTTATTTTTTGCTCTTGGACAGGGTGGAACAAAGGGACAAATGAAACACGGGCGATAAGCAGTATAATTTATTCAGTACGAGACTCGGACTTAATTAACAATAGTACAACTCGTTAACAACGATACCAAAATAAAGCCTCGTCGCTGAGAAACTCTAAAGAATAATTTGAGCAACATTTCAAAAATTGACACCTCGATGGTTAAATGTACGGGGTGTTACGATATTCCACTAAGAAAAGCCTATAAACGATTCTCCGACCAAAAATTTAACAAAATCATATGGACTTTTTTTTAATAATTTGGAAATTACAGATACACATTTTTTAAAATAATGAAGAGATTAAGTCAAAATTAATTTTTTACTCAGGACTTTCATCAAAATTGGAAATATTCACAATCGATACAGCCTCTGTTGGTGACAGAAATATTTACACAAAGCATTCCCCCACCTACCCCCTTTCCTTGGTACCACATAATTATTATATCGCATAAAAAACGCAAAAATATTTTTTTTTAAGTCACATCATGATGAATACCATCTAAAAAGAGACGTGAGGTTAAAAAGTAGCAAGTTGTGTTTTCTTAAAAGAATCTAAAATTTCAGTAGTTCTAAAAATAGTTGTAGATTTGGGTTGTGAGATCATTAGACCAACTACAGAAGTGTTATAATAAAATTATTGTAAAAATAATACGTTTCTATGAAAGCATAGAAAGGCTCATTTTATTTTTTGTTCTTGCCTTCCGAACATCGTGAAGTATCAAGTTCGAATTGAAATTTTGAATTTGAACTCGCATTTTCAAGTTTAGCAAAATTTTCTGTCTCAAATTTCACGTTTCAAACTTGAAATTTCTTTAAAGTTCAAAATTTTGCTTGAAAACTGAAAATTACCAAATTAATACCTGAATTTTCTAATGTCAAGTTGAAATTCGAGTTTGAAGTCAAAATTTTGAGTTTAATTGCAAAATATCAAGTGCAAACCTTAAATTTTGAGGTAAAACTTGTTTCAAATTTCGAATTTCTGAATACAAACTTACAATTTTTTGTACTTTCGAAAGTCAACTAAAAGTTTCGAGTTTAAACCAAAAATTTTGAACTTAAACATAAAATATCAAGTTCGAACCGACATTTACATGAACCTTTTTCGTTTTATTGGCCAGAGAGCGAATTGTGGAATTTTCCCGGTAGAATATCTCGACGCCCTGCGTGGAACAATAAATCACAAACTAAGCAGTTGGAATGTGGTTTGATTATCACTTGCAGCTTCCGCTTTAAAATATATTTTTAATCTTACTTATCTACCATTAATGCACTTTAAACCTGTATATTTTAAGTATTTAGGAAAAATAACGGATCACCTCCCAGGTTAGGCCCGGAGTAATTCCCTTTCATCGTGCACCGTTCCTCGCTGAGCCAGACAATTATTAAAAACACTCCTTCCCGTGACGGTTCTCCTAAGCCTAATATGAGAAAGCAAAACAGTATGTAAGTACAGAATAAGTACTTATTTTACCCTTACAGCTACTCGGAGAGAAAGGGGACTTTCGGAAACCGCAACCCCAACGATATTTTTGGCAAATCCAATTCCGAAACGAACAAACAACCACTAAGACGAGACAATTAAAGATTACGGCTCCCAAATTTCCCCCCTCTACATGAAATATTACACTCGAAAAATTGCAAAAAAAAAGCCCCTCAAGGAGCCAACGACTGAGGGAAGACCTTCATCTTCAGGAAGTCGTTGACGATCTCCTTTAGATTCTCCTCGGTGGGATGAGGCACGGACACGGAGAAGCCCAAGTTTCTCAACTTGCTCCCGTCCAGTCTCAGATGTTTGTGCAGGAGCAATTCCGAATCCATATGAGGAGACAGAGGGGTGTTGAGAATGTCGTTGTCGCGGCAGGCCTCCGCCCAAGGGCCCAGGTGTTTATCGTTGGCGTCGTCAGCGGCCCCCACCAGATCCACAACCGCCGAGACGAGATTTCCGTAATAGTCGACTTTGACGTTGAAAAGGTCGGCCAGGATATTGGTTATGGAGCCCTGGGTGGAGTCCGCGTCGTCCACCACATTGTAGATCTAAAAAAGTGATTGACATAATGTACTGTGGGAGAAGCTTCTTTTATTTTGACGTTTACACACATCGTTCCGTAGTAGCATTGCAAAATGTTCCAAAATCTTTTTTCGTTTTAAAGTTACCAACAAAAACAAAAAAAAATTGTTTTTATTTTTTTAATTGAAAATCAATATAAATGGATCTTCAAATATGTAGTTGAATTAGCCATACATGGAGCAGCATGGAGAAAAAACACTATACAAGGTGTCCTGAAATTCATGCAACAAAATTTAGTCATAGATTCTTAAGACAAATTTAGGGGACCCGTATTTCTTCTTTTTACCAATCAGCCCCCTGAAATCTCAAAACCATGTTGTACGAGTATCACTAAATTTGATACACAGGGGTTTTATGACATGTGGAATCTCACAGTGCTTTGCTTTTTGGTGAGAAACCCCCTTAAGACACTTTTTCGTGGGCCCCCTTTGTCTTTAGAACCAGAAAAATTGGTGGCAAATTTGATTTTTTTTTTTAGTTATTAGTTAGCTAGAAAGCCATTGAATTTAGAAACATTTTTGTCTTTTGACATTTTTCTCGAAAACATTGCGTTTTACGAAAAAAGTATAAAGAGACAAAAAGTTTCTAAATTTATGGCTTTCTAGTGGACTGATAATTTTTAAGATATTTAAATATGCGACCAAATTTTTGACATTTTCCTCGAAAACATTGCGTTTTACGAAAAAAGTATAGAAACAAAAAGTTTCTAAATTTAATAGCTTTCTAGTGGACTGATAATTTTTAAGAAATTTAAATATGCGACCAAATTTTTTCGACTCCAAAAACAAGGGGGCCCACGAAAAATTGTCTTAAGGGGGATCCCCGCCAAAAAACGTAGCACCATCAGATTCCACATGTCATAAAACCTCTATGTACCAAATTTAGTGATTCTCGTACCACAGGGTCCTGAGATATAAAAAAAAAGATTATTCTTAGGGGCGGACTTCAGGGAACTGAAAATCCGAAAGAGGGGGCCACTTGGCAAAAATAAAAAATACGGGTTTGTCTTAAGAATCTGTGACCAAATTTTGTTGCATGAATTTCGGGACGCCCTGTATACTTTTGTTTTTCTTATGGTTGCGATATTATCCCTGACAAGATTTACTTTTTTGTTTGTTTCAAAACACCATATTTCACAAAGAGTGCTTTGAACAGAAATTTTAATAGTTGGGAAAAATTTTCATTCACAATGTCAACGTCTAGATAACTAAAAATATTATATTTACAAGAAGGGCAATACATGTTTCAAGTTTACTGGTTAATTAATTTAAAGAGTATCTGGCTCCGTTTCATGTCAAAGTTATATTTTTAATTGTCCTGGACTTTGACATTGTTCATTGAAAGTCTAACTGAACTGTCAAAATTTCGTTTCAAAATTGAATGCTTTTTTTTTCTAAAGCACTCTTTCTGAAAATAGATAATTTGTTATTTTGACGAGAACTAAAATGTAAACCATATCATAAGACACTTCATCGTAACCAGAAAAATGTGCTGAAAAACAAAGGTTGCATGTCCTTATACCCTGTATAAAAATATTTTACTGGCACAGTATTACCATCATTAGCGGTTCGTTACATTTTATCGCTATGATATGGCTAATGTCAATGCTAACAACAGATAAGCAATGCTTGAGAACAATCAGAAGGGAAAACGGGACAAACTATTGATAAAATATAAAGGAAGTGGAACAGGATATAACAGATACCACAATAGCACAGAAGATTTTCAGTTTAAGTGTCGAGAACAATTCGCAACAGAATAGTGCTAGTTAATCCTAATTGGATATAAAAATATTATTTGATTATTTATTATTTATCTCAATTTCCCGGACACTTGGAGATAAGATTAATGTGTCATTATTATTTTACCCCCTTGCACTGCAAAATGCATACTCACTTCATCACATAAACAAAACTGATAAATAGTTCTATTTCAGTTACAATTTTTCCAACATTCAATTAGTTTACAACCTCTTAGTCGTTATCTTAAAAAGTGTTCAAAAAGCAGATTATCGTTTAAAAAAAAATTAACCTACCTGCCCAACGGTATCATCCCGGCAACAAACAAACCAAATCGCCCCGCACACGTCATTTACATGCACGGTATTTATTCTTAGCTCCGCATTCCACAGCAGCTTCATGGTTTCGCCCAGGTGCTTATAAATTGCTGCGGCCATTATCCGCGGCATCAAACCGCTCCTGTCACCAGGTCCATACACTACCGGCAACCTAAGGATGGTGTATGGTAAATCGGACATTTCTGCAAACTGTTTCTCTACCTAAAAATACAAAGGCCCTGTGATATCTTCTTAGGACGGATAATCTTAGTAATTATATGAAAACTTTACCTGTCGCTTCCACTTGGCAACAAAGGTCCACGGCTCAACGGGACCGTCTTCCTTATGGGCGACCTTATCCGAAGAGTACATATTGCCAGACGACAGTTCGATGAAGTGCTTGACATTTTGTTGAGCTGCTTCCTTTGCACAGTTTAAGCTCAATTTCAATATGCCTTCATTGTAAACGGGATCGGTTTGCCCCAGTTTCGTCTCCCCTGCGCAGTTTACCACAATATCCCAGGGCATACCGTCGAAGGGTTGGAAAACGTTTTTACATGATTCTAAAATTCAGAAATGCATAAATATTGTCAGTTTAAACTGTAGTGTGTGGCTTACCTGGATTAATCAAATTAGCACTCTTGAATTCCACGTTACTACTTCCGAAAGCTCCAGTATGGGCATCATTCAGCCAGGCCACTTGTGGAGGCACTTTGTCGACTACCCTTATTGCACTTGTGAGATCATTCTTTGCTAAGTAGGATACCAGGTTTCGACCAACGAAACCACAACCTATAAAGAAATTAGGTTATAATTCCACTTATGTGTCCAAATCATCAGATTTATACTGGATTGATTACCTCCGAGCACTAGAACCCTTGGCTTAGACATAATATGTATAAATCGTATGTAATTTTCTTACAGACTTTTGTAACCGGTTCAAATGCATTCGGTTAACGTCACTGAAACGAACGAAATGAGAAAATTGTAGTACCGAGGTTGCCATATGTTGCATTTCTCGCATAGTTAGTATTTTTACAAAATCGTTAGCTACCTACATTTAAATAAATACCTACTATTGAATTGTTTCTTGAATGCCATTAAGTACTTGAAGCAAATATAGGTACTTAAAAATCTCTTTTTTTAACTAAATTTATTAGTGCACAAGACCAACAAGGAAATGAAATTAATACGTACCGTTGTTTGACACTAAATTTAAATTTACTAATTTTTAATTATAGGTAGTTACATATTTAACAATTGGGTCCAATTCATATGCTTCTATAAATGTGTCTATTAACAAAATTAAGATTTTTATTAAGTCTAATTACTGTGAAATATAGAGATGTTAAACCCCAGCTTTTTCTTTATGGCAAATTGAAATAGTTACTATTTTTGAAAGTTCATAATTACATAAAAAAAAAAATTCGATAGGTGAGACAATAATTACAAGTTGCTGAGAAAATTAGACGTGTAATTGGCAACGTGGCAATCACAATATATGTAGTACAGTCGACCACAAAAAAATCAGAGAAATCATATAATTTCAATATTTCATTATATTATAACCTTTAAAATTTGTAATATTATTATAGAAAGTATGTTGCGGTTATGTATATACGTAGTGATTCATACATTTATAATACCTAATAACTAAAAAATATATAAAATATGAAAGAGGTAGTCTACTCAAACGGTCATTCATTTTCTTATAGAGTGTACTTTGCAATTCTATTTTCAAGGGTATTCCTTACAAGAATAGACTGATTCATCAATATTTCCCACTGTCATTACCTATACAGGGACTAATATCATAATTAATCCATTAAATCGATTGTAAAATTAACTTACCTTGGGAGGTACATTTACCCAATACTATTAATTTTCAATTAAAAAGAAAACAACATAAATTTAACACATTTATATAGGTACAATTTATTGGTTTATAAGATTTACATTTTTCGAGAGAAAACTTACCACTATATTAAAATAAATAGGTACATTTAGTGTTGGAGGCATGTTATTTTAATACAAATAATTACAAGTGACTTAAGAGTTTTGATCACACTTTATGTGTACGAAGTATAAATGACCTTGGAAGGGTTAAAACGCGGTCCACGACAAATCCATGCTTTGAACATAGACTCTTCCTAATATATTTTTTTTAAGTTTACCGTTTGAATGAGCTCTTTGAACATCCTTATCGTAATAACAATGTAATAATCTATATTAAATAAAGTTCCAAGGCCCCTCCCTATTTTCATCCTTGGAATTTTCCACACATACAGATTAATATCACAGGAATATTTAAAAATTGTTGTTTTATGTACAAGGTGGTCACCACTAACACCTAAATGACAAAAACGCATGAGAGCTTTAAAAATTATGAATATGCAGTTATTCCTCTGTCTTTGTAGGAGATATTTTTAAATTGGTATATCTCTTAAAAGTTATTTTATTAGTTGTTCGACCATATTCGTTCAGTAGGTAAGTAGATACCTAATTCGAATTAAACTGGGAATAATTCATAGAAAAATATGAGAATTGTGCCTAAGATGGAGTGACGCATTTCTCCATGTAATACATGTCACCCAGGAGCTGGGTAATGGGTATTTCCCCGATGGTCTCCTTGAAGAAGAGCAGTTCCACAGTGAGCGGCCGAATGGCTCGGAGGCTGGGCACGAGCAGGAGCAGTCGCCCGAATCTGGTCGGCTGCCTGGGATACCTGGTGCGTACGTAGTCCCCCAATATGCACTGCGCCTGGTCCTGTAGCATCTCGACCGGTTGGACATCGCATAGTCCTGCCGTCTCTGCAAAATCAAAATAGGTATACTTGATTATACAGGGTGTTCATAATTAGCCATTTACTAGAATCCATGTTAAAAAATAAAAAAGAGGTTGCTGATTAGGACGAGGATACTTGAAAAAACAATCCTAAATAAATAATTGTAGGAATAATAACCCACTAAACATTTTTCAGTTTCTGACATGTTTCAGAAACGTTTCCATTTTTCTTGAAACATTTCATAAAAAAAACATGCAACCTTCTGGTAACGTTCTAGAAGCCCAAGATGTCCTCCCGAAAATACGTTTCCAATGAAACGTTTCAAAAAATTGGTTTCAGTAACATTCTTTTTATGTTCCATTTATGCCCTCGATATTTTTGTTTTACGTTTCAGTATATTTTCAGAAATGTTTGAATAACATAATAATTTTATTACCATATTGTTCTCATAATGCTCTCAACTTTAGATCATTTTCATTTCAAAAGCGTTTTTGAAATAGTATAAATAGTGTGAGTATTTTTTTAAATATCTCTAATACTCCTTTGTGATATTTTAATTTGTATTGTGAATGACTTAATTCGAACTAAAAAAAGTTACATTGTATATTAAAAAAAATAAATATGCTCTTCTAGTTTGGGGATGAGGCAACTTTTACTAAGAATTTCTTTCTTTTTGAGAAGCCACTGAAAAAAGTTTCTAATATGGATTATGAATTTTGCCATTCATGGTACAAATAAAAATATCACAAAACAATATCAGAAGCATTAAAAAAAAACTACACATTTTATACAGTTCAAATACGCTTCTGAAATGGAAATTTTCTAATGTTGAGACCTTCATGAATGTAACAATGACGAACTGATAATTAGAAAAAGTTAGTTATGATTATGAATGTTGAAATGGTAGGTACATGAAAAACAAATAACATTACTGAAAAATAATATAAAGTTATAATTTCTTCTACGCATGGTCAATATTACATATATCATTTTAATAATAATAAATTATACAGCAGAAATAAGGATACAAAATGATATCTTGACAAAGTAAATATCTGTAGGTATACCTAAACTCTTTTATTTAAGCATGCCTATACACATAAACAAATATAAACATTTGTACAAAATATAAAATAAATGACGTCTATTTCACTTGATTCATCCATATTTCAAATAGTTCTCACTGACTAAGTAGTTGCTCTTCAAATTATATCGAAACGTATGTTGTTGTTCCATTTTCTTAGTTCTTGTCCCTTGTCCTCTTGTCTGTAATAGTAGTGGGTATAACTATATTTAGGTAGATGTGACGCAAAATTGGAAATCTCTACACATATCGTTTTAAACATTTTGCATCAATATTCATTATTTTATATGCACCTTACAATAACCACAACTGCACACACTACAAATTATCACATAAAATAGCGTCAAAGTAAAGATGAATAACAACGAAACCAAGCAAACTGACAAACCGCAAACCTAACCTAACATAATACGAATTGAAACGACACACGGGAAACAAATAAACTCGGGCTGTTACGCGCAGTCTACGCAAGTCACGAACATACGTTTTTTCTAGACTCGTGTTATAAATTTGCTACCACATTTTTTTTCTAATTATGTCTTTATATAATAAAGGCAAATGAACTAACGCTTGAGAAGGATTGGGGATTGAGAGCAAAATTTAACTAATGCCGAATGTTCTATAAGATAAGCAAAAATAGCAAAGGGTTGTTCGTCTGTTATGTTTCCGAGATCGAAAGGAAATGTTTCGAGTACTGTTTCAAACTCTCTTGAATTGTAACGTTTCGGCTGTTTCACTAAATAAGTTTTCAAGTGCTACATTTCTGTAATGAAACAGAAACGTTTCTAGTTAATGTTTCAAATGTTCAGTAAAACATCTCATTTGCCACGTTTCATTTACGTTTCGTGTTTAGTTTACATATTTCTATTGTGGCTATTTTTACGTGTGCGTTTGTCTTTATCAAGGTCGGTGTAAGAACAACAAGAATACAAAATACAAGGTTTTTCTACAATATTTAACAATTTCATTCTGCCGGGTGAAACATCGCGGTTAAAAAGTCCCGGGACTAACCCACAGATGGCGCCGCAAATCAAAAATCCATATACCTACATATATGTTAGTACGTAGATATTATCTTTCAACTTATCGAGATACAGAAGTTTTAGTGACGATACTTTTGACATTTTGACAAAACAACCACTAGTCTAGTGGTTTACACCAAAGAAATTATCAAAATTATTAATATCTTTAGGATGTGAGCTATCTCTTTTCGATTAATATTTCACGTACTTTACACTTTGAACAAAACTACTCACCATAGTGTCAGTCAATACACAAAGACAGTCTTTAAACAGTAGTAAAAAATCTGGATCTCGATCTTTTGTAAAAGAAGTTATGTACCTATTCATTGAAATGAAAAATATTATATACAGAATGAAGAAAGAACATTGAAAAATAAATCTGAAACTATGTGATATTTACATGAAAAACTTGTAAAATACGTTAAATTTTATCCCCCTGTTAATTTAAAAACTTACCTGGTGTAAATAAAAGGATGGCTTTCATGCATCCACACTCACTGCCATCTGGTGATATTTGACGAAAGCGACACATTATTTCCTGAAAATTTCAAAATCGTATCATCAGTTTTATAACCCTAATCAATATATGTCAGTCTACGAATGTCTGAACTCTATTATTTCCTGTTTACCTGTATTGTCTTGATTTCCGTGGCGGTATGCAGGTCGGCGGGTAGCCTCTCCCTAGCCTGCGGACACCCCAGCAGCGTGGAGAGGTCCCACGGCACGGACCATTGCGCCAGGTGCAGCAGAAACAGCTCCTTCCAGGATTCTTGCAGCAGGAGCAGCTGGTCGTGCTTGCTGAGGGTCTGGAAGGGAGCCAAACAGCGCACCCACCGCACTGCCATGAACAGGAGTCTGGCAGTTGTCTCCTGAAATTATACCAAATCATTTTGTTATTTGGAAAAAATGACCTATATCTAATAATTTTTTTCAAATTTTTTGTCCGGTACTTTGTATCCATTAAAATAACGCTATCGAGCGCCTAAGAACTAAAAAAAATGCTCGCTTAAATACCGGATACTAGATAATACTAATTAAGTGCTTCCTTTAAAAAAATTGTTGTTCCAAACTAAGAGATTTTTGAAAAAAAATTTAAACATATACCTCATCGCTTTTGATACTTGAGTTGATATCTTTGTATCTCGGGACACACTATATCTAAACTAGAATCGTGCAGGATTCCTGTCTTTCTTGTTATGACTTTTTTTTGCACATTTAAGACTACGCAGAAATAAAAAAATGTATCTAACTCTTTTACACAAAAATTTATCTTCCAGGCCTCAAAAAACTTTTCATCGTATCAATTTCGTTTGCAAAATATACAGGGTATTTGTAAATAAGTGCGAAATATTTTAGGAGGTGGTTGCCGAAGTTATTTTGTGAAAAAAAAGTTCATATAAACGTGGGTCGAAATATGCTTCGTTTCCGAGTGTTTAAATTTTAATTTTTTATTTACTTTTATTAATTATTTCAGAGTTTTAAAGATATTGACTCGAAACTTGAAAGACGCTTTGGAAAGATAAATGTGCATTTTTTGGGGCGATCCAAATATTTATACTTGCACCAGTGACGTTCGTGCGAGAATACCAGAATATTTTTTTAATAAAAAAAATGTTACGCCACTAACTTCTTCCCGTTTTGATATTTTTTTAGAAATCCCCCATCAATTCTGAATGAAATTGATCACTTCAATTTTTTTCGTAGGATGCACCGTTTTTGAAAAAAACAATAAAATATATTTTATTGCAGGTTGTGTATTTTTAATTTTTATTGACACATTATCTAGTAGGTTGCTGTCAGTATTTCTAAATAAAATACTACCAGCAAATTTCGAGTCAATATCTTTAAAACTCTTTGAAATAATTAATAGAAATAAATAAAAAGTTAAAATTTAAACACTCTGTATCACAGAAACGAAGCATACTTCGACCTACGATTATATGAACTTTATTTCACAAAATAACTTCGGCAACCAGCCTCGAAAATATTTCGCACTTATTTACAAACACCCTGTATATGGAATGAATTGTATGATCATCGTACAAGTCCGAAAAAAATACGAAATTCCTAAAATGTCTTAAGGGGAGGATTAGAACTTTATCCCCAAAATAACAATTTACCAGAGAGAGAATACTTCAAATTATATAGCAAATATATTAAATGTATTATACTAATGTCCTACAGATTTATTAAAAATGTATATTGGGTGCTTCCATATAGGTATACTTTACGAAATATATGGTTTCATTTAAAAAATGTACTAATTTGAAATTTGACATTTTTTGGGTGAGTAAACCCTATTGAAACAAAATTTGCGCTGTATTTTAGGCAGTTAGCTAACAACGGCAATTTCATTAACACAACAGTAAAAACAAATAATTTTGGAGATTTTAATGCTACCGATGAAGAGGCGACACGAGGGTGTACAAGGAGGTGTGGTGTGCTATTCGCCCGTGACTTCGTGGCATTCGCGATGACTTTTCAGCTGAAACCGTAGTGGCTGAAATAAAATCACCCTTCTCTTCTTGGCTACGCCTACAAAACTCCCCGCAACATTTCCGGAATTCGTAATTATACATGCGGACGACGGCTTTCCCTTATGCACGATAAAAAGCCGGAATTATGGAATACCTAACTGTCCCTATACGTTTCCAGAAAGAAAACTGTAGGATAAATCCTACACCACTCGGAAAACATTGGCAAATTGCACAATTTTTTAGTAAATATAAATAAATTAATCTTAATGTTGAGGTATTGCGTATTGTGTAAAATATGCGGTGAAAATTAATCAATTGCATAAAAATGTATCGAAAAAACTTATACTCAGGGACTTTATTATTGACACGACTATAACGACCTCTATATAGCGGATAATTCGAAATCATTGAATTTATACAATCCTGTCAAAAAAGATCGGTGTGCCAACATACCTACAATTTATGATTTTCGCTTATTGCTAATCGTGCACATACACGTAAAATAAAATTTCAAATTAAAATAAGAATAAAATTGCTAACTTAAATTAATTAATTCCTCTACCAAAAATATTTTTTAAAACGTGTAGATATTTTTGAGAAATTTACTTTGCGTTTGAAGGAAATTGTAAGTACCCACTGTTAACTTGTGATGATGTTACCGCACTAGCAATATACCTTAATTAAACAACCTAAATCAATTTTTTGTAGGGATGTAGAGAAAACGCCTGCCCTACTGTCAGTCTATCACTATTTTTTACAATTTCTTTTCCTTGTACAATAATAAAGAATATCAAATTAATATGTATAACTAACCTGTAACATTTCCCATGTAGGTGTAAGAGGTAGAGGTGCCAAAGGGGGACTTGAGGTCAAGGATAGTCCTGCAGGACTAGACACGAGTCCTTGACTTGAGTCGCTACTACTGGGTTCTATTTGGGACAGTTTGGTACCCCACACTAATTCCTAAAAACGACAAAACGAAATACATACCTACGAGTATATTTAAATTTACAGTACATTGTGAATTGTAAATTATTGGAATAAGCCGCACCACTTTTACGAACAGATCTATATTTTGGACTAACCTGACACTTCTCAGCGGACATAAGGATATGCAGGAGACCCGGGGGCGGCGGCAGGGCGGGCGGATGAAACATGGGCAACGGCAGCGCGTCCAGGGGATGAGCCTGGGGACTAGACATGGCCGTCGGCGGCGGCGGCAGCTGTAGCGCCTTCAGAGGGTGATGCGGCGTGGCCGCCGCAAACACGCCGTGACTGAAGTGAAAAGCGCCAGAAGAGGCGGAAGGCAACTTGCCATCGCCGCCCCCTGCCATCGACGAAGGTGGCATGTGCGGCAGCCCGTGGTGGCCCAGGGGCGGCGAGTGGTGGTGATGCGACTGGGAAGGAGTCTGCGGCTGTAGCTTGGGCTTGCGGGGACCCCTCTCGTGCTGAACGGCTGAAATTGGGAAATTGTGTTTTTTGAATAGGTTTTCATCTGTAATGAAGCATTTGTCATCGTGTTTAGTGTGACGTCACGTATTTAGGCAACCCGCAACAAATTGTCATAGTTGAAATTGTACAGACCGAATCTGACCCTTGTATACTATTTACATATCTATATGGGTACTACAAAAATGAACAACTTCAAATTAATTTATTTTTACAAGGATTTGGAAGTATTTAAAAACAACCAACGCGTGAAGAATATTCCTAAATTTAAATAAAGTAAAAATTTAACATTAACCGTGTCATTCCTAATGCTCATTCATGCTCGGAAAGAATATCGTATTTTCTCTTGTTTTATTGTTTAATCTTGGCATTTTCTAGTTCTACTAAGTATTGTTTTTCTTGGTGTTGTACTTTGTCAGTGTGTTTATCGAGTGTTTTTTTCTTCAAGTGGTTTATTATAGACGTACTCTTATAACCACAACCAAACTTTTCTAGAATGATATCCTGTTGCGAGGCTACTCGCTTACATGAAATTATCTTTAATCCCCAAGCTCAATAACATTGATATAATTTTAATTCATTAATTACTATAAAAGTCAATATTGTTCTATAAATTTAAATACATACATTCTATAATTCTATATTAGTTTGTCACTTGGGATTTGAAACTTCTTAAATATTTCTGATATTGCCAGAATATCGCGATATTTAAGGTCATGACAAAGAAGCCATTTTTTTGGCACTTATGTCCGAAGTAGGTATATAAGGTAGTAGAAACCTAGTAAAAATATAGGGAAATTTTTCATGATAATGTGTACTATGGGGTTGCCTGTTATTTGGTGTATGTGTCGTCACTACTAAAAAGGTCTATTGCAACCATCAAAATGATAATAAAAGTGTTTAGTAACGCAGTCGTGAAATTTCAAACGTCGTAGAATGATAAATTTGGACAACAGCATATGCTATATATTTTTACATATGCTATGTATAACATCGTAAAGTTAAAGTATAAAGCGCGGCTTTACATAAAAAAATATAGGTTGGTATCTATGTCTCAATTTTAGTTCGAATTCAAAATTATACAAATCAATATACAGGGTGATTCAGTCATAATGTCATTAATTTTAACCACGTATTCGGAAGGCTTAATAAAGACAGAAAATCGGAAAAAAAATTTTTTACTCGACTTTTAAAAATGAAGGAAATCAACCCATAACTCCCGCTACGAGGGCTGCCCTGCCGATGCCCGGATGCTCGGAAAATTTTGTAACGTAATGTCACGAACAGTTGTCGGCTAAAGGAACAGCGTTGCCAAGTTCAGGTTCAAGCTCGCCAGGTTAGTATTTGACATATAACCGACCACTTCGTACACTCGATGCACCTGGGCGACTACAGCTACTACGAAAACATAGCCCGTATTTTAGATTTTAAATTAAATTTGTTGATACGATTTTCCTTTGATAAAAGACCGACAACTTTTTGCTACTACACTCGTATTAGTCTAGGGGCTAGGGGCCAGATAGGTTTCCGTAGCCAAACAGAATTCCACGGCTGCAAATAACTTATTTTTANTTATTTATTGTCTTTATATGAGCGAAAATATATAAATATGGCAACGTTGCATCTAGGGCGCGTTGTTCATAGGTTCATATCGTAGCCGTGCATAATATTGTGACGTCAGCCGGTCAGTAACAGCCTGAAAAGGGGGTTAAATAATGATTTGAAAATATTTTTTTGCAGCTTAAATATGCATTTAAATTTTTTTTTAATCACGCCATCGTATTATACTCATTTTTCTCTATCTGCTCTTAAAATTAATGACATTATGACTGAATCACCCTGTATATGTGTAAATGGCTGTAAACTATACTTGTCAGTCCGATCAACACTTAAATATTGATCAATAAACAATAATTTACACATTATGTGGTTTTGCAAACAGTTAAAGTGATTGACGATAATTCAATGTATTTTTTCACGGAAACATTAATGGTATTGTTCTTTTTACTAATAATTGTAATATTAGCCACTTTTGGGAATAAATTTTAACTACAGCCGTAGAGGCCGTTTACTTTTTTAACCAATCCGAGGAAACGGGCAATTTCCATAAATTCATCAAAGGGAACTCCTGGACCATTACTCAGTCAAACCGTTCTATGTCCTGCATGATTTATGGCAGTCAGGGAAAATCCCGAGTCGGCCGGTGAAATTATCTCGGGACTCGACAAGGATAATGTCATTCACCACCACACCCAGCCCAGGATGCTGCGACAAGGTGCTTGATGATGACCTGTGGGCTGACCTGCGCGTTCGCCCGTTTGACCCTCGCTCCACTAGCCTGACAGAATGACATGACACTATCGGATCAGAGGATTACCCGGGTTTAGCGTTGCCCTACACCGACATGTCGCGTTCACATGGTGAGTTCACGTATCAGCTCATTGCTTCCGGACGACTGCATCATCGCACCCGACGCTGCCTGCGTGTACGTTTATACGGGGGCTGGGATATGCGCGCGGAAGAATGTTGCAGTGGACAATCAATCGTTCATGCTCGTAATATTTACTTACACGTGCTGGTTTTGATTCTCTCTTTAAAGGTATGACAAAATAGAAATAATTTAAAAAGTTTTCGGTTTCTCTTTGCTTTATATGGACATATATGTATGTTGTAATTTATTTTAAGCTGAAATAAACGTACGAAATGTTTTTAAGACATTAAAACTTGTAAGAAAATAATGCGTCAAGCTAAACTGCAATTTTTTATAGTAAATTTTATTAATGCATCACACATACTTATTGTAAATTATTTATTAAAAGTAGTATATATTCTAACCACCGAATTATTTTTTCAGCCAAAACATGAGTATGAAACATTCTCTACTGACGACTGAGAGGCCTAATTTTATGTATTTAATCCAAACATTTTTCTGCAATAAGCGTCGTCTGGAAAGCGACCAGCTGCCCAAATAGAACAAAAAAGTTAACTCGCCCAGACGGCAGGCGCGCCTAATTCGATCGTAGTAATCCGCGTTTTTCTTAAAGCAGAAAAATTAAAAGCCCGTCACGATTGTCCGCAGAATAGAGCCGGTTAAGTACAAAAGCCCCCGATGGAGCCGTAAAAGGGCAAATCCCTTCGGCTCTTTAAAAACGTAAAAGCGACTGAAAAACGCTGTTTAACTTTAAAACGATACGGGCGGGCGCTCCAAAGAGAAAAGGGGCGATATCCGTCCTTAAAATCTTAATCACTTTTCGCGCTCCGCGGATCCGGCGGGATCCAATTCGTTCGCAATTTAGTCTATTGATTCGGAGTTTTAAAGGGAGCAAAAGATCAGCGGTTCCGAGCAAATAGGCCATCAGGATGATAGTGTGGGAACGGCGGCATTGTGCGGACATGTGACGCGCTCACGGCGCGGCGCGCCCGGAATTAGCCCGGAGAGAATGTGATGCACGCATACGAAAACGGTGACGGCGGCGGCATCAGCACTGCCGATAAATAAAAATATTGACGGAGCTGCTTTACTCTGCCTGATGCGTCGCCCGCAGGTAACAAGCCGGGGAGGGTATGGAAGTTCGATTATCCCCTCACTGTGCCACTGGAATGTCCATATTTTGTTTTCTATCGCAGGAATAATGCCAATGCGAGGCACTTTATTCAGCAGATACCAACCTATAGGTACATAGGTACTGTAATAGTAATCGGTGAATTGTAAATTTGTTTGGAACGGTAATTTTGTATATTTTAAAAAATAAGTCGTTATTTATGATTTCATTTGACATCGATTTTATTTATTTTACGTGTTGTTTGTTAACATCGATGTTTTATCAATGTTGCACGTTCCTACTTCGTATCGATTCGCATCGCTAAATCATCTGAAACCAACGCAAAAGACATGGAAAAAAAACTATCAAACTCAAAGGAGAAATATTCAACTCGCGGAAAAATATCAAACCTAAAAACATTTAAAACCAACGAAGAATTGAACCAGACGAAAAAAAATTACTACTAGGTCGAAAAAGTAACTACTTAAATCAACGTTAAACCGTCTAAGCCAAAGTAAAATTATCTAACCCCATCCAACATTGAATTATGAATTTTATTTTAGGTTATCTACATACTTTTTGGTTGGGTATTGTGCAAAACCGTACTTATCCTATCAACTTCGACGTCACCTGTTACATAGGTGTTGTATAACAATGAAAAAGTAATAATAACGGTCGATAGAAGGAAGCACAAAAAACAGGCACTTAGGTAGGAAATTCTGGAAGGAAGCCTAGATAGTTGAAGATAGGCAGTTGAAGTGAGAACAGTGTGCAGATAGGTAGCAAGACGATCGGCGGGCAGTGTGTCAAAGTAGTGAAAAGTTAATTGTTTAAAGTGTTATTAGTTAGCAGGTAATATTCTTTAAGTACTTTGTTGTTAATTGTTCTATATAATCTTATGATTGTGATGATTATAGATGTTTCATGATAATAATTCTTTGTAAGTTTAGCTTCCATTGCTTTATGCTCAAGGGCATATATTTTTCCAAGGTAAAATTGTTATAATTATACTTAAAGTTTGCCCATTATTTATTTCATGTTAAAAATATATGTATTGTCCTGATTGCCAGACATTACAATAACGACTTCTTTGTTTCACATCTAACTTGTTTTTGCCACGATTACGTTATACGTAAAATATAGATGTTTCATGATAATAATTCTGTATATGTTTAGCCTTCATTGTCTTACGCTCAGGGGCGTATATTTTTCTAAGATAAAATTGTTACAATTATTATTATAGATTGCTCATTATTTATTACATGTTAAAATATGTATATTGTCGTGACTGCCCAGATATTGCATTAACGACTTCTTTGTTTCACATTTAACTTGTTTTATCATGATTAGGTTGTTCTTTGATTTCTTGTGCTCACTTTATGTCATACGTCTATACGAGCCTTGTTGAGTTTACTAACATTTTCGCCCGTGCGGAACGAATCTGGATTAAGCTCGATTGCCTCCC